TATGTAAGTAAGTAGTATTTAACTTAGCAAGTTATATGTAAGTAGGTATTAAAGCTTTATGTAACTAAGTAAGTACTATGTAAGTAAGTCAGCATTATGTTTGTAAAAACAATAAAAATTTAAAAAAAAAAAAATTATTTGATTAAATATGGTGTGCTTTTTGCTAATGGAGGGAGTAGTAGGGAGGCCGGGGCGGTCCCCATATGAAAGGGGCGAAAATGTTCACCGTCTCTTTTAGGGCTGTAAAATTCGTATTTTGGTCTCACTTAGGGTGTTCTGAGCAAAAGGCCATTATAATAAGCCGTAAAGGTCTGTTTTAGGGTTGCACTACGCGAAGAAATATAAAATAATGATATATTTTCAATTCATTTTATTTACTCGATTCATGTAATCAAAGTTTAAAATGGTCTTTTTTAAGGTTCAAACAAAGGTTGGGTAACGTCCAGATTGGTCTCCTTTAGGGGTTTCATTCAAAATTTCCGACGAACAACCCTGCCCATTTCATATGGGAGTCCCCCTACTACTCCCTCCATAAGCAAAAAGAACACCATAATAATCAAATAAATTATATCATTTCTTGTGATTTTTATCTTATCCTATACAAACCATTGTAGTTTACTTTTAATCAGCAAACATTTAATGAAGTATACAGCTGACTGAGTATTTTTACTTTAAGTTGCTATGGAAGCTCTTTAATGTGCTTCTACCGGTGAATTCAAATAAAGGTTGCGTGAAATTCTTCCTATGATGCTAATATGTTGGTTCAATGAAAATCTTGCTCTCTAAAAACACGAGATCTCTTAAAAAAGCTGCAAAAGGTGTTATCTTATACTTCAATTTAACGGTCCGTGAAAACTCTCTAACATAGCCCTATGCGCTCCTACTCTATGTAAGATGGACAGCCCTCTAAGTCGCACGTCTTAGAGGGGGTTAAAGGTCTCAAGGCATTCACGGTTAACGGTAAATATTCTGGCATTCTGTTTTTTAAAAAAGTAAAAACTTCCATCGGTTTAGGCCTAGCTCTACGTCGTGACCTTTCCAGGATGCAAAAAAGGCTGAAATAGGGCCCATTAACCAAGAAACCTATTGACTCTCTAAGGAAAAATAAGGCTAGGAAACATTTTCACGGTTAACTATCTATTTTAACGACTAAAGGTTTAAAATTTCCTTTTTTAACACCCAACGACTAAAATTTGTAACGGTTAACCTCACTAAGACCTGGCTCGGGGTTGACTCAAACTGATGGTTTTGAGACTAATATTGCTAACTTCGACTAAAAATCGCTTTAATTGTCAACAAGCAGATGAACTGTCTCCGAGATAACAGTTCTTGAGATTCGACCCTTGAGGATAATGAAAACCGCATCTGTCTTCCCCACGTCCTCAGAACGAGCAGCTTTGGCAAAAATAGAGATGTAAACACAACGGCCTTTTATTACGTGTTTGGGACTCAGGCGACGACGAAAGACAAAACGCCGTGTGTCCTTTGCGACAAGAAAGTCAAAAGTTTCAGTGGCCCCAAAGTTACACAATTGAAAACGAATAAATGTGGTTCTGCCCAAAGGAAGGGTGTAATAATTGCTTGCGTAAGTTCCCCTTAGAATAGCAGTAGTTGTTTTGTGGATTTTATGGGAAATTCTTTCAAAAGGGTAACCTTTTTGTGTCGTACCCTTCAATTTAAGCTTAAATGGCTGGCCATGTGCATGGGCATTAAAGTCGACCACAAAACGACCTTGATTTTGGGGCTGAAGGGTGAGGTCACTGATATATTTTCCCTCTGTGGTTACGAGTTGCAGCCGCAGGGAGCTTTTGTCTAGTTTTTCTGATCCAGCTACAGAAATTATGATTTTGTTTAACTTGCCTAAAAGAAAAAAGAAAGTATGCAGTTAAAAATAATAACAAAGTACAACATGGGGTGAATCAAAGATCAATTTTGTACCCGCAACTGAAAATTCATGGTTCGATTACCACTGGGGACTTAGGGTACTTTTTTTAGGGTCATTTTCTTCATTTAGCATAATAAACTCTAAAAATTAAGTCACAAGGTGAAAACAATGAGAAGATACTTTTTCGGAGAGCACTTTGACGTATATTGGGCTCTTGAACGCCGAATCGAAAGCCTGACAAGTACAACAGTTAAGTTAAAGGTAATAACAGGAAGGCGAAACCATGCCCTCTCCCACAACTGCGATCGGAAGATTTTATCTACTTCTAGACGTGAATGAGACTGGCTTACCAACAACTGGATTCGAAACGGGAACTTCACTAGACCGTCTGCGCCAAGAAAGCGTAATCAGGAAGTAATGATCGAAATCTACGTTAGAGTCGCTGCTTGACTTGACAGAGAACTCATGGTCACCATTACTACCTGGCACGGTTAGGGTCCAGATTCCTTTCCTTGGATTGGTGATTTCATAGATGGTGATATGTGACAAACTAAGTTTTCCAGACGTTATTTCGACGTTGTCTGCATTTTTTAAGACGATTCCACGCCCTGTAAGGACGATAAGAAAGAGGCCCTTTAAACCTATTACTCGGCTCATAAAGGTACCCTATCTAAACGTCTTGTTCTTATTACTAAAGGTTTATTTATGCTGTTAGCTGATATAAAAAACGTTAACAGCCGTTCATTTATATAGAGCCACCATATCATAAATTCCCAAATTTAGAAACGAGAGGAAACTCGGCTGGTTTAACTTTCGCAAAGACGTCTTGGACCGGCGAAAAATTTGCCAATAGCAGACCACCGCGTCCCCAGTCCCCTCTCTTTTTTTAAGTGGCGCATTGCTTCAGTACTAGACAAATTAGGGTGCCATGCGTCATGACGTCACAAGCAACTGTTTGTTCATCTGAATAAGGCATCTGGTTAATACTTCAGGGAGGAGTTTATTTTTTTCGAATGATTTCGGCGCCAATTTAAAATATTTTTTTAAAGGTTACACCAATCATCTGGCAAAACAATCAGACCTAAAAAATCGCGGATATTTTTTACATTTAATGACATTTAGTTTTCCTTATGGATGTCTAGCTAACTAGGCTTCCAAGCTTTGCGGGAAAAAGTGTTCTAAAATGTATCTAAAAATAAACCGGCCGTAAAAACGCCGTGATATAGGCCTGATATGGGGGTATCTCACTCTTCGTTATTAGCTCCTGATCCCAAACACGCGTCAATACTGACAATTTTGAATGTTTACTCATATTTACAACAAGAATCGCCTACCTTCTGTCGCTGTAGTTATGGTTACAGACATCTTTTCAATAGAGTCATCAACAGGAATGCTATATCGACCGTCAGCACTTCTCTTTTTTCTGCTCTTCTTGGTTGAGCCGGTAGATACGATAGCATCGCCATCCAATGTCCCGATTGTCAAACTGCTTACTTTTTCCAGTTCCCCCGCGTTGTTAAACACAATGGCTAGACCAGAAGTACTCTTAGCAAGATCTAGGAAGGCTGGGTGAAGATTCCTTGGATCGCGCGAGCCGTAACCTCGACCGCGACAATAACCTTTATTAAACATTTTAAGAAGTTGAAGTTAGAAACGTTTCTTAGCATGAACATGCAAGGCAAAATCCTTTCTCACCCTCCGACATTATTAATCTCAATAAATGCAGGATTAGAGACAGGTTTTTAGTCAGCAATGTATTTATTGACAGTGCCTCATTAGAGAACCTGCATTTGGTTGTTCCAGTATGAACACTATCTTAAAGGAGCTGTGTCACGAAATTCAGCCAAATTAGGTAATTACAAAATGCCCGTTTAAGAGAAACGTGTCCGTTTAATTACGAGAAACGTGAAAATTAACCGCTTAAAACATTAAAGGAAGGTTAAAATAACACAACAGATACAACAGATGCCACGGATTAGCAAAACTGAAGAAGATTAAAACGGATTGAACTTAGGGTTTTTGAAAACTGTTCAGCCTAACAGTTTTTCAAAGTTGATCTCTGCTGTTTGCAACTTCAAAAATAATGCTCAAGAGACATATTTGTTTGTCTGGAATCCTTAGCCATGCACTTGTGAAGTCAGCCATGTAATAATTTTAGAGGGCCAAAACATATTTGGGTTACCCTAGCTGCTAGAGGTCTTCTCTTTCATAAGCGGTGCATGGGAAGCGTACGAAGTGCTGACGTTTATAAAACTGTTCTTCCGCAACTAATAAGTTACTGTGCGTTTTCCGTAAAACAATGGAAACATAACTCTGCAGTAAATTTTCTCTTAACGGACACCTGTATAAGGCGGACACCTCGCTAAAACGGAAACCTAGAGTTGGTCCTTGTCTTTCTTTACTCCTTTTAGTGTACTCTCTAGAAGACGGACATCTATATAAGACGGACACCCCCAAAGGCGTATGTCTTAGATAGAGTTGACTGTAAACAATACTGTGTTATTGTTTGAGGAGATACCTTACGAGCAACTCAATACTAAAGGATATCCTGCATTAACTGCAGGTTTAGTTTTCACTATCGAGCAAAGGTATAACTGATATGTGGAGAACTTAAACTAAAAGAATATAATATATAAACATCAAGCATTCCCCTTACCTGTGGTCAAAAAGTTAATAGCTACGCCACTTGCTTTAGCAATCGTCTTCACTTCCTGAATATCCGCCTCTGTTGCATCCTTCGGTCCTGCGTCAGTAAACACATACAAAGGAGAACCACCCATTTCCATTTTATTGAGTGCTCCACGCATTCCCTCAAATGTGTACTCTGGGCAATCTCCGCCGCCATGGGCCCTCAGTTTTTCTATTTCTTCTTCAAATTCTCCTGCTTCAGTTTCGGTTTTGACAATTACCGGATCAGCTTTTGTTGGATCTAATGGAATTGAAATATAAATAAAAATGATGAACTGTTTTTAAGTGTCGAATCGTTTGTTTGACATTGCTAAGTGTTACCTGGAGCCACTAAGCAGAAAAGGACCTAAAAATTGTAAGTTGTTGAAAATAAAAAGAGGTGGATAAAAGAGGTGGATAGAACTTTGCTTTAACAGTTATTTTTATTTTTGGTGACTTGGTGCTTAATTTTTTTTTTCCAAAGAACATGTCGACAGAGAATTGAAATGAGCTGCTTTTTGTCACTGTCTCGGCATGACTTTGGCAGAAAAACTAATCAACCCATTATTCGCCCCTGATCCGTCCGTAACAGCCTGTGTGGATCCATGTCCCTTCTACCGCTTGTGATGTCATAAGTTTTACTGGTCAAGAGGAGAACTTTGTCCGTTAACATGTGCAGAGTGAAGAGATCTTTCAAACCATAACAGAATGAGCACAATTCCGCAAGGACACCACTACCTACCGTCCTTTTCTTTTATCTTAGTTCTAAGAAGGCTTTTCTAAAAACGTTTAATTCTCACCAAAATGAAGCCTACTAACTGCCCAGCTAAAGCAAAAAGAAAAAAAAAAGGAAGCAAGAAATGCGAAATAAGAGGGGAGGAGAGAAAGCGAAAAGGAACAGTCAAGGCTTATGTATCACTTTTAAAACCAAAAACGAAATTTTGATTTCTGCGCATGCCCGATCTTTTTCATCTGGATCAGTAGGCCGCGAGACAGGTCGCGAAACTAGCCTGAGTACCAGGCCTTCCTAAGGGGCTAGGGGAGAAGAGATTTTAGCTTCTCTCTTCCCCCTTTTCTCCCCAGAAACGCCTGATACTCAGGCTACCGCGAGGCGTTCAAGCTCTAAATGGCTTTATGGTAAATTCTAGCTCTCTATAGCACCACTGTGACCAAAAAACCACTCGACTAGCTTCAAAACGCGTTTTTGGGCAAAATGCACGAATGGGTTTAAGACCTATGATAACGAACAACTCACTCTCTTGTCATTAAATAAACTGCTGTTACCACAGGAAGCCCATGCAATCTGTTTGTGTGACCGTTTGTTCCAAGGTTTTTATTTCATGGATATTTATACTGCATGTTTAGGCCATTTCCGAGTTCCAAAAACCATCACTTCCTATCAACGGCTTCGTACCTAGCCTCGCTTTGAAACAGAGGTTTGGAGCAACTCGCAAATGGCCTATTGGATTCGTTTGCTTCATATGTACACATATGTAACGATATATTGCTACAATGTACATATGTGCATTTACCAATGCGAAGAAAACGCGCCCAATACTGACAGTGTATTACCACAGCTACGGTAAATTGTTCTCCTTTGCCTCAGAAGTGGCATTTTAGTTGGTCTTATCGGATTTTTTGTTCGCCGTTTATTGTGGAGAGGCACAGTAACCGGCGAACTCAAAGTCCTTCAAAATCGCTGAAAATTTCAGTTCTGAAACAAACTTAAGGACAACAATCTAGCATTCCACAGACAAGCTTATAAAAGTGTATTTAACATTGACCCCTGTACAGATTTAGCGATATATTTCTACAGATGTAAAGCAAACGTTAAATCCAATACATTTATAACAAAATTACAATCGGGTACACGAACAGATTGCGTGGGCGCCCTTGTGCTGTTACTGCAACACCGAAGAAAAATTTAGTACTCATAAGGCACAAATACGACTCGAAAGATAGCCTCCCACGCAGACGTTCTAATGAACTTGGGCAGTGCACTGCGGCTACATATAGTGAAGAAGGCCAACAGATGGCTTTATGCATTGAGACAACTCAAGAAGTGCAAAGTTCCATCGGCTGATATTGTTCATATCTACTGCGCGCTTATTCGCTCTATACTAGAGTATGCCTACGCTGTCTTCGCTGGTTTGCCTTAGAAGTATATAGCTTGCTATCTCGAGAACGTGCAAAAAAGGGCCCTTCCCATCATTTGGCCTAGTATTTCGTATGAAACAGCACTTGACAAAGCTGCATTATCCACTCTTTCTGACCGTCGGAGTCTCGTATATTAAATTTATAGGTAAGGTTCGGCCAGGTAACCCGTTATACCCACTAAAACACAACAGAGTGGTACCTATATCTAGTGTGTGTCTAAGATCAGGGAGTTCGAGCAGGCCCATGGCCACAAGGACTGAACGTTTCTTAAATTTTGTTAGTGTTAAATATTAATCTTGTAAATCAATGTTGCGTATTTGGATATTTATCACAGCTTGTAAGGTATCCTACAATTCAGTCTTCCGCCAGGCTACAAAAGGGACATTAAGCCAGTGATTTGATTTGATTTGATTTGATTTAATGAGTGACGCCAGAACCCCCAAGAACGTCTGCGTGGAGGAAGGCTACACGAAAGGACGACCAAAAACCAAATTTTACTCACATGGATAGGGGTCGTTAAATGGTGACAAGATGTATTCCTTGATAGGGACTTTCCGCTTGTAATAAATGATATCGTTTGCGATCTTCTTTACCGCTTGGATTTCATCGCTCATGCTTCCTGTATCATCTATGGCAAACATAAGACCTACATCGCCTTGCACAGCCAGAAAGCTATCAAATTTAGTGGCACCGACTTTTTTCCGAAGATCTTGAAGAAATACCTTTCCCTCACTTGTTGAGGTTCTCTTTTTCCGACTTGACGATTTTGCCTTGGTGCTCAGTAAATACATGATCTTTCCGACGACCTGAAAATGTTTAAATATACAATATACTAATTTATTATCCTTCGAACAAGGAAGTGAATCTTACTTGAGAGAGTATAGAATATCACCTCTGTCAGTTTCCAGTCTTATGAAATCAGTTTGGTTAGACTCAAATCTAAAATTCTCGCTATCTAAAATCTTTACTTTTTAAAATACCTTGTGAAAGAACTGCTCAACAGGGGCACCCAACGAGAATATAGTTCAAAACCACTTAAACATAGAATCGTTAAACGTATTTTAGTATTTAAACGGTAGATTTTGGCATATTTTTATCCCCTACAAATTTTTCATCTATTCGGATTTCCTAGCTGAAAGTCTAGTGATCCGAAAATTATAGGAATCAAAACTCACCTTTTTGAAAATTTCAGCCAGAAAAAAGGCCCCCCAAAATTCTAGGTGACCTTTTAAGGGTAAAAATCCGTTAAAAATGGGCAATTATAGTAGTTTTTAGATGTTCGAAAATTCTAGGAGAGGCAGGCAAGCAAAAATTTTTACAACAAATGTTCCGAAAATTCTAGATCTCAAATCGTCTTCAATTCCGCACAGATATTTTCCGATAATTGTCGTTGGGTGCCCCTGGCTCAATCCCGAGGTTTAGCTTGGGTGGTCCCTGGCCAAACTGAACATGACTAATAGATATACTTGCCTACTGAATTTCAGTACCATACATAACAAGATTTACATCGTACGATTAATGTATAATTTTGCCGAAATACGTTCAAGTAAATTTTATTTCATCCTCATTTATACTGCTCTGCCTGTTACATATGATTTAGAAGGCGTTTGTACTAAAAAAGTTTCCTTAAGCTTTCCTCTGTTTCCTAGGTAATCCCTATCCGCAAATAATATTCGAATTATCTTACCTCTCTAGCATATATATAGCTCTTGCTCTGTATTGCCTTTTCAACAAGACTCTTAAGTTTTGCTAAGGTAGAGTAGCTGTACTTGACTCCTAAGGCGTTTGCATTTGCCTCTGCTAGTTCAATGTCGTTGATGGCCTTCATAAATTTATTAGAAGGTGAAGTACGTGACTTGTAAACTTCGCGTTTCGTCTGTTTGATTATTACTTTTTCCTTGACTGGCACAAGTACTATGGGTTCCAGTACTCCACTTTTGACACTAGCTGTCATTAGTAGATCCTTTGGCAAGTCCTTTCTCATTGAGGGATCTAACGAAGCTTTGATTGTGTCAGATGAGATTTTAGAAAAACTAAGGAACGCAGTCTTCATCACACTTTCATCGACTTTCCTTAGTTTGGTCTCACCGATGCTGTTTGCTTGACTTAGTATCAAGGCATACGTCTTATTGACCATCCTCGTCGTCTCCTTTGGTTGAAGGTTAATATCTACAGTTCTTTGTGAACCTCGCGAAAAATCCAGCAGGGCATCACGGGTGAATTGCAGCGAGGAGAAAAAGCTGCCGGAGGATTGTTCTGCAAACAACAGCGAAAGGAGAACTGTGAGGGTCCAGGCGAAGAACATTTGTTTCTCCATATCGGCTGTTCTGTCCTCAAGGTACTTATCTTTGTAATGACCCGTAACTCTTGAAGTGCAACTTTTCTTATATGCACATCTCGACAGCGAACAGGGAACATTAAACTGTTTTCTTCACTGACAGTTGATGCCGAAAAAAAAATTAATTATAAGCTGAAAAGTCACCTCAGCACGTTCGCTTTGAACAAAAAAGAGTTCGCTTATCGCTGAAACCGAATTTCACCAACTTGATATATGGTAACAGGTGTTAATGGATTTCCGCTCACGTTCATGCTATGAATGCCGGACGGTTTACCCATCTTGAGTGAAGTGCAATGAGGATGAGAGACTCCTGAATTTTACTGCACATAAAAGTAAAGACAGACCTGTAATAATCAGGAACTGAGAAAGGTGTCTCTCCGTAATGACAAATCGGCTGTAATTTCCTCAGACAACTGCAACTTAGAAGTTGACTTTCTCTCAACTTCATCTCGAGAGAGAGGAAAGAACTTTTTAAAAACAGTTTACTTCACCCGTCGCTGAAAGGGAAATAACCTGTAAAGCCCTCAGCACGTTCGTTGTGACGAGGAAAAATAAACATTTCACTTGTCGTTGCGACTGAGTAAGCTCAGTTAAACCAGTTAATTCGTAGCCTGCGAACCGCAGACGCATTTCCGGTCGTCGCTTCTCTTACTCTCGGCGGGTAGAGCCGAAAAAACCGGATGCTCTCGCAGACTAGTTAATTCCCGGGGTTAATTCGCGGAAAACCGGGTGAAGGTTTCTTGAATCTCTATCTCATTGTAACCCTGACTACGGCAGAAATCTTATATGTCTTTAATAATGACTAGGATTCATTTTGGAGGTTTATTTCTTGGTAACCCGATAAACTAGCAGAGAGAGTGTGTATCTTCTCTGGTCTGTACGACGGACCCCAGCGACGGACACTTCCGTCGTTAAGGTACAATCCCGTTTGTCATCGCAGCAACGCCTGACAAAAAACCAGCAATTTGAATGATCTCATCGTTCCAAGTGGAAATAAGGAAACTAACCTTAAACAACACAGCACTCCAACTGCCAAGCGACGAGGAGTTGTTTTCATATAAACGTTGCGATCATTGATCGACCTTTTTTAGCGATTCTAGTGACCACAACGCTCTTATCGATTATATTTAAACAGCCCTTAGTCATAGTGCGGCAGCTTAGCTATACAGCTTTGTAAAAAAAAAAAATAGATAATAAAAAATAAAATATTATATTCACCTAGCAACCTAGCAGTTAAAAGTATAGAATCCCTCATGAAAGGGTTCCTAAGTCTCCACTGAAGTAGTGGGTAAGGTGGAAGGAAGGAAGGGTGTGTGTAAAATGGGTGCGTTGTAGGCATAAATGAATTGCAACGAAAATAGTTAGCTTCAGGAAGACTGTCCTGCAGACAACAACGACCGCAGGATCAGAGAAGGAAAATTTGTTTTCTCGTATTGATAAGCTTGTTGTACGGTCTCAGGTTACTCCTAAGAAGGAAACAAAACTTTAAACTGTTTTTTTCACTTCTCGCTGAAGCACGTTTCTTATGAACGTTTAGTAGAACATTTCACTTGTCGCTTATACGGAAGAAAAGATTAAATCTTTAAGCAGTCATGATCTGCAAAGGGAGCAGGTGTCGGATTTCAGCACCCGATCCTTCAAGCCAACACGATTGTGTTATTTAACCCGTATTCGTCGTTCAGGTCTTCTTATTTCCCTATTTACCCTGAGCTATCATATGCTAAGGCTCCAGAGCTGTCTGGACGTTTAACACTGTATGATAGAAGAGAGGCAATTTCGGCAAAGTTGTTCGATGAAATATGTGCTAATCAATCTCGCAGTCTCCACAAACTACTTCCAAGTAAATACCAGCCAAGCTACTCTCTGAAAGAACAGAGAAGATTTATTTGTCCAAAGTGTAAAACTGAAAGATGCAAGAATAGTTTTCTTTTAAGTTTCTGATAAGTTGTTTACAGTAGTTGAGGACTTGATATAATTTTGTTTCTTATCAGGGTATATAGGAACTTGACGCACGCTTTTGAATTTGTGATTTTATAACAGTTTTAAAATCGTAAATTATGTTGGATCATCTTTTTTTATTAGTTGTAAAGCGCTTTAATTAG